AAACCCCTTCCTATTGCTTTTGATTCTTTAACTAAGATGTGTTTCATGGGAAACAAATACAACCTCCAAAAGTCTGAGGTTCACCGATTAGCTGGGAAGCGGCAATGCTAATGGCAGCCGGCGTCGGTCAGGGAATGATGGCACAGGATTTTCAGAGCTCCTAACATTTTTTTCCCCTCCACTTACCCTTGAGTTCTTTCACCCACCATCCACGGTCACTTCTCTTTTCACCATACTTTTTTTTTCTTTGTTTTTTCTTACCTTTCTGGCTTTTAGTTGGATTGGATAGATCTTTACTTGAGAAAGTTTTCCCTTACTTCTTTAATTCTTTTTATTCTGTTAATGAATAGCCCTAAAATTTTAATTTATATTTACTTTCATATTTTTGTAACAAAGTCCAAACATATTCACCATCACCATCTTCTCCCTGTTTTGTTTTTGGACAAAGTGTCACCCTGTCACCTAGGCTGGAGTACAGTGGTATCATCACAGCTCACGGCAGCCTCCACCTCCTGGGCTCAAGTCATCCTCCCACCTCAGCCTCCTGAGTAGCTAGGACCACAGGCAAGTCCCACCACACCTGACTATTATTATTATTATTATTTTATAGAAATGGGCTTTCCCTAAGCTGTCCAGGCTTGTCTCCTGGGTTTAAGGGATCCTCTTGCGTTGGCCTCCCAAAGTGCTAGGATTACAGCTGTGAGCCACCACACTTGGCCTTTGTTTGTTTGTGTTTTTAAAGAGATAGGGTCTTTCTATGTCTCTTCCTAACACTTAAAGCTCACATGTGCTTATATGTAGGGTGACGAGAGTTTGACTGGGTGTGGCATCAATTTATGGAGATTTTCTGGGCATAATAGGCTCACTTTTACTCTCAATGGTGTTCTGGTTTGAAGAGTAAGTTATTTGTCACCCTACTTAAATATTATATTGCCTGACATTATTTTACATCATTGCTTGTCTCCCTCATTAGAACATAAGGTCCATGAGGATAAGACATTTTCTATTTGTCCATGACTCCCAAAGCCTACACCAGTTACTGGAACACATTTTCCACTCTATAAATATTTGCTGAATGGAACGAATGAAGAGAATAACACATGCCCCTTAGCAATTTTGAATTATTCCCTGAATTTCTCACACCCGTGTTATTATCTAAAATTTTAGTGCCCGCTGTAAACGTGAAAAATGAGCTGTAGTTGTTATTGTTTACATTCTAGGGTTGATTTTCACATTTCTATGGTTTCTGTGATTTCGTAAATCCAGGCGCTCACTTTGTTTGCATTCTTCCTTGCTGAAATGTGCCCCACAGCAGATGCTTCAGTGAAGCTTTGGGGTAGTAACCTCTGGTACTTTTCATATGTCTGAAAATCTCTCTCTCCCCTTTCATGTGAATGATATTTCAAGTGGGTATAATGGTCTCAATTCACTGCTTTCCTTCCACAATTTAAAGACGTTATATTTTCTAACATACATTGTTGCTGAAGACAAATCTGCTTTCTGGATAACTGTCTGTCATTTCATTGTAAGTGATGTGTCCTTCCTTTCTTTCTTTCTTTCTTTCTTTCTTTCTTTCTTTCTTTCTTTCTTTCTTTCTTTCTTCCTTCCTTCCTTCCTTCCTTCCTTCCTTCCTTCCTTCCTTCCTTTCTCTTTTCTTTTTTCTTTCTGTCCTTCTTTCTCTTTCTCTTTCTTTCTTCTTCCTTCCTTCCTTTCTTTTCTTTTTCTTTCTTTCTTCTTTCTTCTTTTTCTTTCTTTCTTCTTTCTTTCCTCTCTCTCTCTCTCTCTCTCTCTTTCTTCTTTCCTTTCTTTCTTCAGGCGGAATCTTGCTCAGTCGTCCAGGCTGGAGTGCAATGGCATGATCTCAGCTCACTGCAACCTCCGCCTCCAAGGTTCAAGAGATTCTCCCGTGTCAGCCTCCCTGACAGCTGGATTTACAGGTGCCCACTACCACATCCGGCTAACTTTTGTGTTTTAAGTAGGGACAGGGTTTCACCATGTTGGCCAGGCTGGTTTTGAATTCCTGACCTCAGGGGATCTGCCCATCTCCACCTCCCAAAATGCTGGGATTATAGGTGTGAGCTACAGTACCCAGCCAAAGTGACCTTTTGAGAGGTTTTCAAATTTTCTCTTTACATAGCTGGAGATTCACTTTGACCTTTCTTGGTGCAAATGTATTGCTATTTATCTGCCTGGCACTTGATAAGTGTTAAACAGAGGATATGTCTTTCTTTCACTCTAGAAAATTCTCAGCTATTTTTTCTCTTCAAGCCATTATTTGGCTTTTCTACTATTTCCTTTAGTTTTTCCATATGGAATGCCTCTTTAACTGGGGTCTCTCAGTTTATCCTGTATCTCTTTTAACTTCTCTTACACATTTACAATTATTTTCTCTCTCTGCTGCATGATCTCGCTAAATGGCTTGGCGCTACCTTCCAAATCACTTGTTGCTTAATTTGTGCCCATCTAGAATTCATTTAGCTTATAATATTTTTCTGTCTCAGTGATTATATATTTCAAGTTCCTTTGCAGATTCTAAATATAGTTATTATTTAAGGTTTGCCCTGTAATTTGCATTTTTAAAATTTTTATTTTTATTTATTTATTTATTTCAAGGCAGAGTCTTGCTCTGTCACCAAGCGCCAGGCTGGAGTGCAGTGGTGCGATCTTGGCTCACTGCAACCTCTGACTCCTGGGTTCAAGTAATTCTCCTGCCTCAGCCTCCTGAGTAGCTGGGACTGCAGGTGTATGCCCCCATGCCCAGCTAATGTTTGTATTTTTAGTAGAGAGAAGGTTTCACCACGTTAGCCAGGATGGTCTCTATCTCTTGACCTTGTGATCCGCCCGGCTCGGCCTCCCAAAGTGCATGGATTACAGGCATGAGCCACCATGCCCAGCCTGTTATTTAAAGGTGAATTCATTTTGCTGTTTATTGAGTTGCTTTATTCTTTCTCCTGAATAATTTTCCACTCATGCTTTGGATGTGTGTTTTGCAGAGATGTCTTGAGAGGGTGCTCGTGTTCTTTTTCTTCTCTCTTTCTGTATCTGGTCATTTTCCACCGTGTCCACCCATTCCGAGTCCAGAAGCTGGCTTTCTTGGTGGCACTGGGTTCCTGCGTGTCAGTGACATTGGAGACACTGCAGGTGCAGACGTGGCTTCGAAGGTAGCTGGCCCAGCGTGGTTTGCTTCCTCCCGCTGCTCCGTGTGTGGTGGGCTAATGTTTGCCACATCCTGTGGCATCCTCTACCGCTGTTCCCAGCGGATCCTCACAGGTGGGATCCTGGGTTGGTTGCCCTCTACACATGTGGCATGATCCATTTTTCTGTACTCCATAGAGATTCCTTTTGTTCATGCACTCTCTTGCACCTCCCCGCCTCCCACCCAGCATCTGTACTTTTGAAAATATATTGTCTTATTTTTCTACTTGGAAACAAAGGAAAAAATCCAAATTCTTAACTCACAGCACAATGTTTCTTGAATGACAGAAAAATCTTCCAAGCATGGAGCTACTGAAATGTCTTCATTATAATTCATCTGTACTGAACGTCCCCTTTCTACTTCCTTCCTTAACGCTACGCTTTTTACCACTACCCTTTTCCAGCAAACAAGGGACTTCATTCCATTTTCAACCTGCTTGTACCTTGAAGCATCTGGCGTAGTTAACACTCCTTACTTGCCTTAATCAGTAAATATGTAGTGAGTCTCTGTTACATGCTAGGAGCCAGGGAGATCCGTGTCAAGAGATGCCCTGAAACAAATGCCTTCTAAACTCAGATGCAATTATTAGTAAATCAGTCAAATGTTGAGAATGTTTCAAGCTGAGGGAAAACATGTGGAAAGACATATAGTTGAGAGAAAATTAGCCTCGAGGTATTTTAGTTTGGCTGGAGGCTGGAATTCGAGATAGGTTAAGTCAAGAGGCTATGCTCAAAAGGTAAGCAGGCACCACTCAGGACTCTGTCGGCCACATGAAAGTTTTAGACAATATCTTGAGGCCACATATCTTAGTTTATGTGGCTGCTAAAATGCTTTAAGTAGGAAATTCAAATGAGCAGATTTGTATTTCAGAAAAAGTTGGATTCAAATTTAAAAAATATGTTGCAGAGCAAATCTTGGAAGATGAGAACAATAAGTAGGTTAATAAAGGAATTAATGAGCGTTCTGAACTAGGACTTTAATAGAAAAGGCAAACAAATGTATGCATTTGTGATAAGTAACATGTCAAAAGATGAACTTGGGTTTCTGAATGAGTAGTGGCTTTGTTCACTGAGATAGATAACACAAGAGAATGAGCAGATATGGAGGGAAAAGATGACAAGCTGAGTTTGAATTTACACATGATGAATTTTAAGGCACGGTGAGGCATCCAATTGAAAATGACCAGAAGGTCTTTGGGAGCTCAGGAAAGACAGCCTAGTTCAAGATATAACTATTTTATCAGGATTTCTTACTTAGGTATCATTGACGGGTTTTAAGTTCGTGTGTGTGTGTGTGTGTGTGTGTGTGTGTGTGTGTGTGTGTGAGAGAGAGAGAGAGAGAGAGAGAGAGAGATGGAGTCTCACTCTGTGGCCCAGGCTGGAATGCAACGGCGTGATCTCGGCTCACTGCAACCTCTGCCTCCCGGTTCAAGCGATTCTTCTACCTCAGCCTCTCTCCCGAGTAGCTGGGACCACAGGCACACGCCACCATGCCCAGCTAATTTTTCTATTTTTAGCAGAGACAGGATTTCACCATGTTGGCCAGGCTGGTCTTGAACTCCTGACTTTGTGATCCATGTGCCTGGCCTCCCAAAGTGCTAGGATTATAGGCGTGAGCCACAACATCTGGCTGGCTTTAAATCCTTAAGTCCCTGAAACTGTATGCGCATTTTTTTCGTGTGTGCAGGTCAGTATGCAGAGTGCCTAACTTATTTTCCCTCCCTTCCTTATCCCCCACCCCATGTTCAATATGACAACTGTGTTTTGCAAGTATCTTTATGCCACATGCACAAAAAGGAGACACATTCTTTTATTATTCATTTTATTTTCATATAAATTAACATCCTAGAAAAATTGAAATAGAAACACTAAATACAATATTGCACATAGCGATCTTTGTTAAATGCCCTATTATTTCATTGGAGAATGGTAATATACACACTGGAAGGACTGAAGGGGACAGGAATACTACAAAACAATGGGAAAAAAACCACGACTGTTTCTTTGCATTTAAACTACAAACTAAAAAGTAAGAGACCGTACTTTACATAAATACAAACAGTGATGATTTAGAACATTGTTTTTCTTAAGTTGCTTTCCATAATTGGTTTGCAAGAGCAATAAATTCTCCCCTTTATCCACAACTATAACTTGTAACAAAGATCATTAAAAGTAATTTTAAAAACCCCCAGCTCTCCTGTTAGACAAAACCATCACAATGCATTAGGAGCTGACTTATTCAGGCATGTTTACTCAGCAGGTTCTGGGCAGATGCCAATCCCTCCAAAAATTTTATTTCATTTTTGGCTGATAGTCACGTTTGGCAATTTTATAAGCATCATTTATTTCAATTCCTTCAAAATATTGAGTGATTTTTCTTTTTTGGTGAAGTGTCATGAAAAAGTTATAGAGAGGCACATTTTTCGTTTAACTTACCTCTGCTGCAGACTAGCTTTTCAAGGGGTCTCAAAGGACCTATCCTGATAAAGCCCTCTATAAATTTACAACTGATTTTTGCCAACATTAAATCATTTACAGGAAAGAGTTTTTCTTTTGCTATATCTTTTCTAAATTTATTATATGACTTGAGTAAAAAAACGACAATCTTATTTCACAAATACATAGTTATGGAGAGCAACCCAAGAGTTGGGACAGCACTGATTATAAATGGTAAATTTTAAAGTAGAAAATTTATACGTAGACATGAAACTGATACAAACAATTCACTAGAAATAACATTTTTATCCATATGTCTAGATGCTGTGATGTGGAGGACTGGTTGTCAGTAGAAAGGAAAGTGTTTTTGCTGTGACAAGGAATATTCTCACAACAGTGAATTTTAGTTAATGTTTAGCATGTTCAGAATTAGTGCAGATACTGCCTCTTATACATGCTGTTTTGGTCTATCCGTATAATACCATAAACTTTTACAAAAAGAAAAGTGTCAAATTCTCCACTGGTCTAGTACTTTTGCATTTTTATATGAATATACAATAAAATTCAACAATTAGTGAACTGTCTAGAAAATGAAAAGATTATGCAAGAGGTCCAGAAGAAAAATGATCAGAATGACAGTAGACTCCTTCCCACCCTCAGGTCAGCTGAGTTTTGTGAAAGTCGTTGCAATGATTCATTTTCATTCTGCTTCTCATTGTTCAAGTTTTCATGCTTATCTTTGCTTTCTGAAAACAAACACACCAGATAAAAGTTATAGTTAGAAAGAACTTTTAAAAATGGGAGGAGTTTAGAGGAGCCTAAGAAAGACCTTTTCATTTAGATCAAATTTTGTGGGACAAGGTTAAAGGTCTACCAGTCCATAAAGGAAAAAATTACAAGTGGGATCTGTGTTATCTTTGAGCACTTTTATCAAGACAAATTGCCACATACTTTAAAGAAAAAAAAGTTTCAAAAATTTAACTTCTAACCAATCTGAAAGAGTGTCAACTCACCATTCTCATCCTCAATCCTACATGCAAATACATAAATATGAAAACTGAAGTGGCTGTTTCATTTCATAATAAATGTACTCTAATCATCTTCTGTACTTATAATAGCACGATTGAGGTTAACTAATAAGTAATTGTTCCTCCGCAGTCAATACAGTTATAGGATTGAATAATCAGACAGAAGCAGAAAATAAGCTGAACTATCATGCAGGAGCTGTCATTAGATAAGATCATTTTGATACAGAGAAACGGAAGGGAACATTGCTTCTAAATGAAGATATAATTCCTAACTTTAAAAAAAAAAAGGATATTTAATCATATCCCAATTTGGGTTATTTTAACGTCTTTTCCACTTAGACCACATTAGACTAATTTACTTTAGAATGGTCCTATCTTATGGCCAAACTAAACTTTTCATTTAAAACAGCACCATTTACTTACACTGTGGTACCAAGTGATGGTTGCTCAAAACAGTCAACAAAACATCCTCAGTATGACAAGAAAAAGCCTTGGCATTTTAACTAGGCCCTGCCCTCCCAGGGTGGACAACCTGGCATTTTGTTTTAAAGGGGGGAGTGGGCAAGCAGGAAACTTAGATGAGCTTGTTAAACTCGGTCTCTGGACTGACCGCTGTCCAGCAGCCAACTCTGCTGAGCCATCTGTGGATATAAACCAGATCTGAGCACCCTGGGCAAAGCGTCACACTGCTGTTGGCATTTCCCACCAAGCTGCAGATCCCAATGGAGCTAATCCAATTATAATGATCACTCTCGGCTCAAATACAGTCTGTTCCTGACCCGTGTGTAGCAAAGAAAGGGAAAGATGGTCTCCCCACCCTGCCCCTGTCAACATGCACATATCCACATAAATTCACCCCCTCAGTACATTTATCTTAATTCTTACGTTTTGAATAATGAGTATCAAGGCTCTTTTTGTCTTCTGGGCCTGATTAAAGGCATAAGAAAAAGGAGATTCTTGAATTCAGAAGCTCCTTATTTATCAAAAATTTAGAAAAATAATTAAAATATTATGAGTTGGTATATATTATGAAAATAGGATTTAAAAGCCAAAGAAAATCACAAGATAAAAATCAGTAGAGTGAAATACTTACAATTCCAGAGTCATGTCTTGGTTTTATTTTATAAAGTGATTTTCCCTTCTTCTGCCTACACACCTCTTCAGCTTCTTTCACTCTGATGGGGAGAAGACACATGTATTTAAACAAAACCTGCTTAGATCACCTCATTCTACCTTGTAGTAAGTGAGCAGACCTCAACTCAAAGATTTGAATGGCTGCAGAAAATAAGACAATACACAGAAGAATGTTATCTGATGTGAATTGAAAGCCTAAACTGTTATAGCTACAGAGGCTAATTTATCTGCAAGTTCCTAACTTGGAATCACAGTACAATAGAATGGAATAATAGCAAATACATAAGAATTTCTATGCAGAGTGTGTATGCATTTCATTTTGAATAATGAAATACCCCTCATTGTCAACTGAAAGGATGAGATTGATTCTATTACATAAATAGGATTGACACCATCACAAAAGTTAGAGGCATCAGAATAATTACAGTATGACAGTCAGGTGCGGTGGCTCATGTTGTAATCCCAGCACTTTGGGACACCAAGGTGGGTGGATTGCTTGAGCCCTGGAATTCGAGGCCAGCAGGGGTAACCAAGTGAGACTCTGTCTCCACAAAAAATACAACAAATTAGCCGGGCATGGTGGTACACGCCTTGCAGTGAGCTGTGATCAGTGCCACTGCACTCAAGCCTGAGCAACAAACAGTGAGACCCTCTCCACACCCACCCCCCACCAAAAGGAAAGGATCAAATAAAAAATTACATGCCTACTGAAAATTATTTCAGATCCACTTCCTATACCACACACACGCATGCGTAAGAATCACTTGCAATAAATACTTGAGCAATTTCTAAAATTTGAGCTTCATCTAGCTTGGGAACCAATCATTTAATTGTTAACAAAAAAGACTGAGCAGTAATAACATTTTAACGTATCTAGTATTCCTTATTAAGCATACATGACAAAGAAAACAACATTGTACTGACCAGCGATGTAGTTAAAACAAGATGCTAGTATGGCCAACATGATGAAACCTTGTCTCTGCTAAAAATACAAAAAAATTAGCTGGGCGCGGTGGCATGTGCCTGCCTCCCAACCACTTGGGAGGCTAAGGCAGGGGAATTGATTGAACCAGGGAAGTGGAGGTTGCAGTGAGCTGAGATTGTGCCATCGTACTCCAGCCTGGGTGACAGTGAGACTCCATCTCAAAAA